GGATACCTATCTTAGACGTTGTGTCGTTCGTTGGATGTTGATTAATATAACAAAAGGAGTGAGTAACTATGATTATGGCTTAGAATGGTATGTGTAAAGTTTGATACTCCTATGACTCAGCGACTGTTTGATGGCCTGGGATCTCCTGAATGGCCTATGGCCTGGGAGGCGTCCTGAATTGCTGATGATACAGATCGTTGAATATTCGGATTGAGGCATCGTTGCCTATTTTATACTTGCTTGACAAATTAGATAGGTTAACCACCCATTTAATATATTAAAAGGTTAACTACACGATTGACTAAGTCCGACCGCCGGTCCGAACGCCTCAAGATTCAAAATTTAAGGTAGATGCGAGAAAAGTCCATTTTCTATACGGATGGAACTGCTTATGGGAGAAATGTCATATGGTCTAAGTGATTAAAGTGGTAAAACTGTTAGGGTCATTTTGTAAATTAATTAAATAAAATTAATAAAAATTTAAAAATTATATATTATATATTAAAGTTATTAAAGTGAAAAATTGTAGTTTTTGTATTATATCGTTAATTAACAAAAAAATTAATTATAAAAAATGCTGATCGTGACGCCATGTTATAGTGTCACTACTTTATAGTCCCCTTTTTTCCTGAAGGTGCCTGATACATAAATTAACATTAACCATTAATTATTTGCGCGGATTAAACTGATATGCCATCATTGATCTTTTATACATGGTAGATAAATTTAGGAACGTGAGTCGACTTGATTTTAGATTCACGCCATCACGATGCTGATCAATTTTTTGGCTAAAGGTTATATTACCATATTTGATCCTTCATGTATACTGCATAGCGAAAATTTAGCATTAGGTAGTATGGAGTAGCGGGAAGGAAGACTCAATAGGCTAGCTATCTCGAGATGCCTCCTCCCTCAAACAACCACTAAAAATTTTTTATTTTTAAAGACTTCGTAAAATATATAGAATAAAATAAACAAACTAAAGTAAAATTCCGAACACAAAGCATTACAAAATAGCGATTACAAACAAAGAAAAAGTGATGGAAGAAGCGTTTATACAAGGAAATCCCTAACCTGTATGTTTAGGTATGGTGTCGATCATGCCATCCAAATCACTATCAATTTCACCATTAATAATATTAACGGCAATGATTTCTCCCTCGCTATCAGATATCGCCGGCACATCGCTATTTCTTCATTTATGATAAGATTAAGATTTGCTATAATATATGATTGAGCATCCTTCCCGAAGGTAGTATCCCTTGGATTTGGAAGCATCCATCTATGATATATCTTATTATGCGTTCCAGAAGTGATGATACTATATCCTTTGTTCTTAGGGTTGGATCGGTCCGGTCCAAAAAGACCGGTCTTTCATCTTTCTTTGGACCGGACCGGTCCTAAGACCGGTCTTGTACCATTCGGTCCCCTACCAGTCCGGTCCGGTCCAAGATTTGTTTTCTCTCGAACCAGACCGATTTATAAGGCTGGTTCAAGGATCGGTTTAGAACATACTAGAAAAAATATACATATAAAATGATCAATTTAATAAAATAATTGTATAAATTAATAAATAAAAAAGTATAATAAAATAATCGCATACGAAACGATTCCTGCGCCTTCTTAATCTCGTTATTTTTCCATTTCCGATACGATATTTTCATTTCGGACATTATCGTTAAAGTAAAATATTAGGACAGATCCAAGGACTGACTTATGGACCGCATCGTATGTAACGTGAACTTTGGTGGAAAAAGCATTTTTGAAAGATATAATATATTTCTCGTTGATTCATCATTCATATCTTTCATAAGTTTTTCAAGTCTGGTTTTGAATTTAGCAGAACAGTATTCAATTATATCTTCAAATAGATCTCCCACATCTTTTCTTTTTCCATGCCTCGTCGGGCTTTGGAGCGTCTTTAGATATCTTTTTTCATATAATTCTTGATTTTATTGATATATTCAAAATCTTTTCTGTTCCAAGTACTGTTCTTAGAAATATAAACAATACATTTATCAGAAAAAAGTCTGACACCACTTCTTTGTCTCTTGCCAATATTGTTGCTAGATTACATTCATCTTCACTTTGACGAGCTCTTTCTTCTCTTTTTTTCGCCAGCGATATTCTTGATACTTCCAGCAACATTTACTTTACCATAAAAATCTTGCATAATTTTTTCCTGTATTACAGTTAGGGTTGGGAACGGTCCGATCCTGTCCGATCCTGTCCGATCTTTAGCAGTCTTTGAAAAAAGATCAGATCGAGACCGAGACCAATGGTCTCATAAGATCATCGGTCTTTTAATTTAGACCGGTCTTTTAGACC